GTTACCCCTATATCACAGGTCTGGTGTTCAGTTAATGGTTGGTGAAACTGATGAAACAGGTCATCGGTTTCCAATTTCATTTCACGTTCTACCACTTGTCCAGGCATGTATTTTCATCTTATCTGATGAGTGGCTTTATAGGCCACCGTAATAACTACTGATTATTATTATTATTTGCCCCTTGGGTTCCTAGTGGAATATAGGGCTTCAGTAGCACAACGCCACTTCACTCTCTTCTCTACAGTCTTTTCAACCTGGCTCCACGACTGCCCAGAAGCTTTCATTTCTTCCTCACGCGATCTCCTCGTATCACCCTCGGACGCCTAACTCATCGTTTGTCGTCTGTTTGACCGGAGTAGATTATTGAGTTTCCAGTTAGGAGTTTTGGAAAGTCCACTTCCATTCCATTCGCAAACTCCTCGCAGATTCCTAGCCCAGCACTTTCATGCTTTACCTTCTCATCTCTTTTGCGATCTGGGCAGCCTTGCTAGGTTCAAACATAATGCGGACATTCCATGTCCCCATGTTTACTTTCACTTTCATCAAGAGAAGCGAAGACACATCAGCCAATTGACTCCCCGAAGGCTTTCACCAACCGGCGTCATTTCGTCTTTCCGATTCCAGCGACGAATAAGTTTATTTTTATTTTTTTATATTTTCCTTGTGGTTTGAAGTTTCTTTAGCGATTAGATTGGTTTTACGGGGTAGAGTTGCTAGCCCTATGCCCAACCTTCCCTCTTTGCCCGGGTTTAGGACTAGTTAACTAGACGAAATCAAACAATTACCGAAATATTCACTAAAGGTTTTCATAGTTTATAAAAAAATTAATCCAACCAAAATATTTAATCGGTCGTTTCAGTAGGTATCATTTTGACTGTCTGAGATAGCTGTAGTTTAGCAAACTTTGTATTGATACTGGGTGACGATTGAAGGTGAAATGAAAATTCGGGTAGCGTCAAGATTTGAACCAGTGGCCACTGGGTTTCTGACCCGACTACTGATCAGATTTTCTTTCCTTTTCAGTACGAGAAATCAAGACTTAGCAGCTAGTGTATGCATGATCTAGAGACAGTAACGCGTCACAAATTCATATGACAGTCGTAGAAAACCCTTTGTGATTGAAGTGAATTAAAAATCTGGTCAGCAGTTGAGTCCGGTAGCTCTCTTGGTAGAGCACCGAGTCGGAAATCCAGTGGTCTCTGGTTCGAATCCTACCACTGCCTAAATGGTCAGTTGTTGTTAGAGTAACCCTTTTAAAGGGATTCCTTTTAACGTTGAAATGAATTTATGTACTATACCCGGCCAACTGATCAATAATTTATTCATCAATTATATTGTATTCGTGTTTAGTAGACTGATTTGTCTATTTTCTCGAAATATATTTGTATGATTTCTATATCCAACCATTTTGTCTACACATATATACCTACACTGTCGTGCTATTCATATTACACCACTAACCATTTTCATTAGGATGTAATTAGTGTCTTGTTTTTTAGAGAAGAGAATATGAAAAAAACACATCCATTATTGTCGTCTATATCTCACATACACGCTCATTTTTACCACGACTTTTTGTCACCATTACGAATTCGCATTTTAGCCCTGACTTTTATGAAATAGTCCAAAAAATACCCTAGATAGGTACAATTTTGGATAAATTGAATCTTGTCTTATGATCAAAGTATGTGTATGTTTGTATGTGTATTGTCCTACCCTGGATAAATACAACTGTTTATTTGCAAATGGATTAATTGATTGAAATGCTATTTCATGCTAAGATTTTTGATGATAGGAAATTCAACCAATCATATATTGATTCATTATATAGGTAAGTTTTAATATAATTCCAGCGTGTTTAGAAAATCGAAAACATATTGAATTCCGATTTAATTTTTCTACATATTTTTTAGACTGATGCGTTTGCCTGTCTTGTGTATCTCTGTATATAATATAGTACACACGTGTGTATGTATATGTGTATGTGTGTAAGTTTTGAAAACATTTGGCTCATATACGTGTATATAAGACGTCCCTAGATAATCTGGATACATAGTCGATTCACATTTGATCCAATGTGATATAACATACTCCTTCACGTTCTAAATACGAGACACTCTCATCTTAGGCATAAGTTACATCCTGTATGCTGCAAAATATTTCTATTTGTTTACTGATGACTTGGAAAATTGTTTACCACTGAATCCCGTGAAAGTTATTGCTTTCTTATCTGTGAATTTCAACATCGGATGAGATTTATGGTCCTGGTGATGATATAACAGCCACATTCCGCTTTATTATTTCATTTTCAATCTGATTTGTAATGCTTTAAAAGGTTTATCTCAGTAAGGGGAAAACACGTTTGCCATGAATATGAATTTGGATACTAATGATGAATAATGGCTAGCAGTGGAATCCAGGACGCGCGTTTCGTCCTATTTGGGACTCGTCAGATGGATGTGCCTGTCTCACAGTAAGCTATGTTGTCCTCACTGGGACTCGAACTCGGGACCGATCGCTTCAAATGCCAGAGCGTTATCCATTAGACCATCTAGCACTACTGACCACTTCTTGTGCGGCGGGTATAGTTTTAGTGTTGTTACTATAACAGCACCAATGAATTTGGATGTTGGCTGGTTGGAGGCAATCGGCAGGAAACCCTGCTTCACCTAGGTTTCGTGCCTGTTGGCACTCGTCAGCAAGGCGTATCCACAACCTCAGGGGAGTTGATGTCTCACATAATGATCGATAAAATTTCGTCAGGCCTAGACAATATGAAATCGATCGCTCTCTGGTGACGAATAAAGTTATCTAATCCAGTCCTACAGTAGGTCAATCGCGGCCGGAATAGCTCAGTCTTAACATTGTTGACTACACGACTAGGCGACGTTGGTTGGAATATCATTGGGGATATCAGTTCACTCAGAGTTGCAGAGATGCTTTCCTGACGAGTGCCAACAAACATGAAGCTTTTTTCAAGCATGGCTTCCTACCGATTGCCTCCATCCAACTGGCATTCATCGAATTATAGCACAATTGTAATCCTTTCAGCTTAGTGTTCACATTACAAAAAAGTGTTTAGGGTTAGTTGTAGATGTACTACGTTTTTGTTCTTTTAAGATTCTCATATGAAGCGATACATAGGAGGAAACGGATGCTTGACTCACCTTAAGACAAAAGAATTTTTTCTGTTGAAATGACTGAAGATGGATGAAATCAATGAACATTTGCATTGGAAACTCTCTCTCTTACAGGAAACTTGCATAGGAACTGCAGATTTGGGATAAACATGATCTTAGATAAGACGAGAAATTCAGCGAAGATATCTGTTCTGGTAATTTCATTCTCCACAGCTGTACAATCGCAATTTATTCGTGTTTTGTTCCACTTCATTAATGACTGGTTACAAGGACTGTTTAAAATTCTTCTGCTCAAGATATCTGCAGCCAAGTCACATTTGAAGTCAAGACTCTTCTTTAATATCTTATTTGAAACTGAAATAGGTATCTTTGTTTGTGATTTGAGTTTTATGCTTTTTGTCCACAACTCGTGCTGAATTATTCGTTTTCAGCCAGAAGCTTTTAGACAAACATGAGTTCTTCTTCCAAGTTATCAGTACTGTAGATTCGTCAAATATGGTAGACAATGCGACACGATTAGCGTTTTTTTCGATCAGTGGGTACCCAAGTGTAGGGGATCTTTGATGGTGGTGGTGGCAACTGTTAACTACTTATATAGCATATTTTAAATCATAGTCATTGTGGCAAGTTTGAAGATATCGTCAATATACGTTTTGTACATCAAAAACTCATCAGTTATTGATTTTAGACTGCAGTTCTTCAAATTTGACATAAAATAATCTCAACCATTAGGTCAAGAGGAGAATCCATAGAGATTCCATCTATTTTATGGTGGATCACCTTGTTGAAGGTGCATGTAAGCAGCAGTTCGTTTAGTTATAAAACACATGTTCCAAAGATCCAAGTTGCTTTCATCTATATATATTAACATAGTAAGCAGATCATGTGTGTGAATGGCACATTGGTAAAAAGAGATTCTATATCGAATGATAACACACGTTCTTACAGTTGCACTCAAATCTCTTTTGCAGTCGATGAGTTTTAGCCTATCATGGAGAGAGTGGCAGGATAGATCTTATCTTAAAGGCTCTAGGATTTCATAAAGACCTTTTTTCAATGAGTAGGTCATTATGGATTCTTTTAAGAATATCCGTTATTCACTTAGTTCAGTCTTATTTTTATCGTTGACAGACCTAGAGAGCTTGTCAACGTCTGAAATCAAAGCCATTTTTTTTTGCACTTATACATTTCTGTCCATTAGGACCGCATTTGAACCCTTGTCTGAACATGCTACCACTGAATGATTGTTGTACCTTGGCTCTTTCAACCATTCTTTATGTTCTCAATGTTCTCATTCACTCATAACTTATTTTTTCACTGTTACAACTGAAAACTTTTCTCTGTTGTGATATGAATGTAAATGTTAATAAAGTTCAGACTTAATTAGTCAAACAAGCAGTGAAACTATTCCAGTCTCAAAAGTCTCGAAACGTGCATCTTGGATTCCACTACTGTCCATCATTTTAATGGTTATAATGTGTTTGGTACCATGATACTGATTAAATAGCTTATGACTTGCAAACTACACTAGTTTTTGAAAATGGTACAATCGTCTAAGCAGCAAAACTATTAGTTATCACGGTGACTTATTGCACCATTAAAACCTGCTATACTTTGTCAACTATGTACAGTTTTCGAGCATATTTATTTTACAATGGTTAAATGTATCACTTATTTGTCCACAATTTTTGTAGGTTAATGTAGAGTTTAAACGAGCTACTTTAAGGTTGTTTACGCGAATTTGTATTCCATATTTCAGGAACTTTTGACCAGTTTTCATATTATTGGTTAAAATTAATTTATTAGCTTTTATCTAATTTCCTCCGGATTCTTTTTTTAAAAAAAAAATATGTAAAATAGAAACTTCAAGTCCTCAGTCTACGAGAGAATAAAATTCATACCCTCCCAGCTAAACCTGGTATTGGCCAGTTAACGCATTTGATTACACTAGATGTTTCTCATAATCATTTGGAACAATTATCTGAAAGTAAGTTTATTCAACTCAGGTATTATGATGGTATTTTTTTAAGGTGTGTTTTGTACTTATATTTTTTTTCCTGCGTTATTACTGTTACTTCATCTGTGCGTTCGTTAAGCTGTAAGGAGGATGTTTATCAGATAAGTGTTCTAGTTATAACTTCATTAGATCATTTAATGTATGATAACAATTTCGTCAATGTAGTTGGTACTCTATCTATTCCATTCAATACATGAACAGTCTTTGTTATTCATCTTGGTGATTAGCAGTGGACTCCAGGATGCGCGTTTTGTCCTATTTAGGATTCATCAACCGAATTTACCTGTTCACTAGTGAGGGGTGTTGTTCTGGCTCAGATTCGAACCCAGTACTCATCGCTTCAAACTCCAAAGCGTTATCCACTAGGCCACCGCGGTTATGAGAGCCACCACTTTTCCAATGGGTGTTAGTTGTTTATTGATACCTGTAATTTCCCGTTGTTGTAGAGGGCAGATAGGCCTCATATGCGGACGCTTCGATGCTGCCGGATATTTATGATATTCTATTCATCTTGGTGACTAACAGTGGAATCCAGGGCGCACGTTTCGTCAACAGAGGTCGGGCAATTCGACCCAGTGTAGCAACGGGAAGTTCCATATATCAATCAACAATATGAATAGACTATTTCTCAACACAGTTTGTATCCAAGTGGAACCTGGCATTACAGAGTAACGATCTGAGTTGCTCTGCTTCATGTCAGCATATCAAGGTAAGAGGCACTAAGGTGAAAGATCTAGGCAAATAAAGAAGAAAGTATTTAAGTGTTGAAGGAAAGGGAGAAGGAGTGAGTGAGATCAAAAAGAGATTCTATAGGATAGTGATGATAAAGATAGCGTGTAGACGTATTATTACTAGGGTTTGATTCCGAACCAATATCGCCTAGAGTTTCCAACTATCGATTTCAGTTGTCACTTAAACTGCTAACCAGGATGTCTTCATTTCTCCACATAGCTGAAACCAACAGTCACCAGCTGGGTCCAGTAGCTCTGTTAGTAGACCACTGGTCCGGAAACCTAATTGTCATTGGTTCGAATCCTTCAATCATTACCCAGTATCAATAGAAGTCTACCAAACTGCAGCTGTTTTAGATAGTGAAGCTGATAGTCAGCGATTATATGGATAAATGTCAGTTATTTTGTGGAATACTACTTACTGCTGCTGCTTTATACGCTTGATTGTTCACAAGTAGTCAGATATTTTTACGATGCAATCAGTGTATGTGTAGGTATTTTGTTTTTAAACGTTTCAATATTATATGGTTAAAATTGCTAGGGTGTTTAAAGTAAGTAACAATGTAAACCACTTTATCATATATCATGCAATTGAGATCGGAAAGCGATAAGGTATTTCGTATTTCCCTTCACTTGCAGTCAAACTTTAGACCATCAGCGGCCGTCATAATACAACACCATATGACTTGATACCTTGACATAGTGGTTGGTTTTGTACATGATATTGACTCCAACGAGATATGCTGGTTTTATCATACCATAGCAGTCTCTTACATAGTTGAGAAGTTGTGGCTCAGTGGTTCAGCGTGATGAATGCCCAACCATTGGGTCATAGATTCCAGCCCCACCCCACATGCCGAGGTTTGGGCAGCTACCTAGTATCACTAGCCTTCATACACTAGATGTGGCTCATTGCCTACTACACTGATGTGCACAACGTAGCTGAGTACATTTATTATTATCACTTACAAAACCTTGATTAATGTATACATTTAACACTTGTTTTTAATATTTTTCATTCTCTTATGACATGAAAATTACAATCACTATTAATGATAAAAACAACAACGATATTAACAATAGAAATTGGTCAATGTCAAAAATTATGTACCTTAAGTCTACAACATAATGAATTGCGTTCATTACCAAATACAATTGGTGATTTAAAAATGCTGGAAAATATTGGCTTAAGGTTAGTTGGTCAAGTGTATTTTTGAAAACTTTTCATGCTTTTTGTGTTTATTATTATTATTATTGCCACTATTAGTGCATTTTTGTTTTCTGCCTTCCTCATAACATATTAATATTTGTCCGGTTTCATTCTATCCATAAAAAGATGAGGAAGTAATTAGTGTGAGCTATTTTGTCAAAATGATGTTTTTATTGATTTTCGTGTCAAGCAGAGGAATCCGGGATGCATGTTTCATCCTATTTCGAACTCATCAGCTGGATATACGTGCGCCTCAGCGAGTGATGTTGTTCTCTCTGATCCCCGAACAAAGTACTCATCGCTTCAAACTACAAAACGTTATCCACTAGATGACTGGGGCACAAAATCCACCTCTTGTACAACGGTTATTAGTGGCTGTTATGATATTTATAATTTCCCGTTGCCATACAAAGCTTAATTACTCGACCTTTGGTGAGGCCCAAACAGGACGAAACATGCATCCTCGATTCCTCTGCTAATCCTCAAGACCATCATAGCATCATAAATATTCAGCAGTATCGAATGATCTGCACAGGAACCTATTTGCCAACTAAGGTCGAACAATTTCGCCCTGTATAGCAGCAACGGGAAATTACATACATCATAGCAGCTGAAAAAATGTTTATTGTTTTTGAATGATTTATTGAAGGAGAGAAAGATATGTGAATCTATCCTGTTTCACGTATATGCCTTAAAATTGTGCAGTAAATAATCGGGATCATTCGAATATAATCCTACGATTTGATTGATGCAGAATATGTTGTAGCTCAAGGGGATAGATGGTTTTGTGTGTCTACTGTTTTCTCTCAACTGAATGGTTTAATCGTGAATCCTACACTGTCTTTCTAGACAGAATCATCAGCTTAAAGTTCAATATGAAATGGTCTGTCAGGATTCCTCCATGAACACTTCAGTAGCCTGCTCCGATGATTTGGCGTGTGATTGCCAGTTGATTTCGATTGTCAATGAAATAAAAAACTTACTAAACTATCAATTATCACACATCAATTCGTCGGAAAATGCTACTAAACCATTCATAAAGGAATCCTGGTGCAATCCAGCTCATAGAGCGCAATACAACGAAGATAGGGTTTTCAAGCCTATGTGGAAAACGAGAGTGGATTGTACCAGTCTAAATCACCATAATCGATACTACACTTTTAGTATAACTGTAAAATCTCAGGTGTACATAGTTTCAATATGAATATTTCTGTAAAGTCTCGTTGACCTAAGTTGTGGACATCTGGTCACTCTGTCTATCCGACCACTTCTTTCTCGAAAGGATTGTTCTCATTCGATGAAAACATCACCTAAATAATTTTGAGGTGCAATGGTGTATGTCCTAGGCTTGATGCCACTTCAGTCGAAAACATTAGCTTCAGTTGCTCAATCATGTGTTATGAATTTCATTTCATAGGCTCATTCATATACCGTCCAATGTTACAAACTCTTAAAGAGGTTAAAAACAGTGGAGAGTTGGTGAATGTGTCGGACGATTGTAACTGTGTCACGTGAGTATTTCAAAACCTCTTGTATCCAGTCATCAGAAAAATGATGTGACTACAGCTTAAAAAGTTAAAACTAGAGGCGTACCTACCGTAGTTTTCGCGTGTTCTTTATTAGTGAGAGTTAACCTAAGTGTTATGAATCCCTTTTCCGATATATCTTATGAAAGTGATTGTCAGATTACTGTATTAGCAAAACTTTAAATCCTACCTCTTCGTTTTTAGCCTCATATTGATATTATTATCATCATTATTATTGTTAGTTTTCTTGGCGTACATCTTAGTGAATGTTTTGTGCAAACATGATTAGCAGTTTAAATTCATTGCATAATCAGTGTAGCCTTCTTTAAAATGCCGATTCATATTCTTGTTTCCAGTATTATAGTAGCTAGTTAAATGATAGTTTACAGACTTTATACTTCGTATCTCATGATTGATTCCATTTGTAATATAGTTTTGTCACGGTAAGGCAATAATAACTAGCAGGTAAAAGGTTACGGAAATTATTGGAACTATAATGACAATACAGGAGGACAATAAAGGGGGTTTAAAACAAACTGTAAGGGATTGTATACCGCTGGTAATGTACGTGATACTTCTCTATTGCACACATCTCCTTTAAATATATTATTGTTCCCAGAGTTCCATCTGTTTCCTGAATAGCATTAAAGTTTGAAGTAGAAAACTTTAGGGTAAAATAATTCACAGTCTTTAGATATATCTTCTTTCAACAGCATTTGTTTTGGAATTAGATAGCACCATGATTAAAGGGATCACATTATCACCTTTCTTCCCACACTTTAGACTGTTTCTTTTTAAAGAAGTAATTATTTGTATTCTTCACCTTCAACTAATGTGATATGTTAAGGTTATACAGATCGCACCTCGCACAGAAGTGAATCGTTTCAGGTCACAACAGCAGCATGCAAGGAACAAGTGAATAGAAAAAAAGTGATACTAAAGTGAACAAAAGTGTATGATAGGAAAAGGAATTTGAAAATCAGGGTCATTGAAAGTATTGTAACTTTAGAAGACTTCAAAGAATAAATATATCTGCATGATTGCAACAGATTTTCAGCCATTGATTCCTGTTATCTTGAGGTTTTCAGTTAGGCAGTCTATACCTTCCTACATGGTTGAAATCAGCAGTCACATCTCGGTCTGGTCTTCATGATCCTTCTTCCAACCCAATACTACGTAAGTTGGCATTGAACTTCAGGGTAGTAGGTGGTGGTGTAACATACGTGGAACCTGGCACACAGTTGTATCGGCCCAAATTGCCATACTTCATACTAGCAGTGCGCAAAGAACAAGTGGATAAAAAAGAGTGACATCAAAGAAGATAACGTAGTGTGAGAGAATTAGCAATCTGAAGATAAAGATTAATGTAAATATTCAAGCTTTAGAAGACTTCGGTCAGTGAGTGAATATATCTGCTCCATTGTGACCGATTTTCAGCCATGTCACCAGAAGTCAATCACTCACCCCTTTCACCTCAGGGACCTCAACCAAGCAGTCTACATCTCACTACAAGGCCTACAGATCAACAGTCAGAGAATTCATTAACTGGTTCCAGGTCTTCGTCTGGCCACCCTGAACCCTTTTCCAACTAAGTCCGAATTCCTCTAGCATGGTATGTCAAGGCAGGCGGGGATTCAGCATGTACAGTACATGTCCAAGCCATCTCAGTCGACTAAGATTCACAGCCTCATCAATCGACTAACCTATTTTCCCTAGTACTCTTTGTCTGAACTCAACATTACTCACACGGTGTTTCCACCAAATGCGAGCAATGCTACGAAGACATCTGTGATCAAAACCCTGTAAAATCTCTTCATGTCTTCTACTTCTAACGGTCATGTATCACAGGCGTACAACAGGATAGGATATGCGCAGCAAACGTTCAACAAACCACCTCAGTTGGTGATGGTTGAAAACCTCGTAGATGATTAACTTGCCTTCCTTACGTAGTACTCTTCTTCTTACCTGGCCATTGCTCACATAATGATTTCGCCACACGAGCAATACTGTGGAGATAATTGTGGTCAAAATCTTGTAATTGATTCACATTTTCTTTCAACGGCCATGTTGGATGACCATATGATAGGATAGAGCCTATTGAAATTTCGTCATAAATCAACCCGTTCGGGCTGATACAACTTCCCAAGTAAGTGAAGTACTCAATACGTTCCATCACTTCACTGTCTATCTGCTCAAACTAGAAGTAGATGCATGTTGCTCCTGAAGGATCATCTTGCTTTTTACAAGTGCAAAACTCATGCCAAACATACTTGGATATTCTCACAAGACCCTGGGTTTTGTTAGCGTGTATATCCAGCAAGGCAATGTTTTCTGAGTACTCCAAGTCAGTCAGATTCCACCCATAGAGTAGGTCAATCTGTATAAAGTCAAAGGTACCTAATGTTATATGCATTAACATGTCTATGATAAAGTTCAACGTGAACGGTGAGAGCGAGCATTTGTGGTGAACACCCACAGTTGTCGTCAGTTCTTCATAAGCTGTTACACGAGGAGATTCTGAATTCTGCTAATCCTTGAGTGGAAGTTACCAACTATCTGTACTGCTCTTTCTACAGCAGGGTTATTCAGCTCGAGAATTGCTGCTGCTTTCAGATAAATGCTTTGTTTTCTCCTCCCCAAATGCATACTTGATTTCCCCATCTTCCAGTCGATCATAGGGTACACTATGCTGCGACCAGTAAAGTGTGGACATATATGTGATCGGTGTCCAAACAGGTATTCCAGGAAAAGCGGCAATCTTTCACTGATCCACTCCAACGATGACTGGCTTATGGCAATATGATCTATGTGTGTCCATCGTTGGTTTATTATCAGCGGACGCCATGTGCGATAGTGTCTCTCCCTATACTTGAAGCTATTGCTGGCCAGATAGAAGTGGTTATCAGAACAAAATTTCAAGAGATCTGCGCTGTCGGTTTGTTGGGATGGGATTCTGTAGATACCTCAAAGATGCCTTTCCGATTGACTCAGTATTCCTACTTGAGCGTTAATGTTAGTCTCCTGCCTGTTTGACTATATCTGAAAGTTTTGCTTTCTGTAAGAAAATTGGCAGCTTTTGATTCATTCTTTATACCATTCTAACTGCAAATGGTAGGTGCGTAGATGCAGATTATGAATATGCATCGACGGGTGTCTGGGCCTTTCCTACTTCCTAATGATTTATTCAGTTGGGCAGCACATTGGTGGTTGTTGATCGGTATCCGTTTGTAAGTGCAATCACTACTCTGCAACTTAATTTTATTTCTACTCGAGTGTGCGGCAGCTGGTCATTGAATCTTCAGACACTTGTAAAGGGAATTTCGCAAATTCACTGTATTAGTTTGGTGAGGTCAAGTGAATAACCACACTCGGATCCTGTATACGTGGTTCAGAAATGCAGCATCCATGCATGACTCGAACATTTTAAATTGTGGAGAAAAGATGCCTGTTTTGTGATTTGGTATAGTTTTCAGGTGTTGGATGGTGCAGCGTGAAACCGATAACGTAGTTACAAAAAACTAGGAATCATATTTTTGCTGAGTTGATTCGTTGGCAATGGTCACGTAGTGGGAGGTTGAGGAGTTTCCAAGAGACTTAATATTGGTATCAGTAAGTGAAATCAAGGGAGGAGATAAAAGTAATAAAAAGTTGGCTATTGTCGATTCGGTTTCGTATACTTATGGAAGCACGTGAGCGGCTAATACTTCGCAGCTGCCAACATTGTGGAGGGGTTTACGTTGCCTCAAAACCCATTGAACATCTGACTAAGGCCTGTCGAACGCAGCTTCTTCAGAGCTGCTGCTTTCTGATATGATTTTAGAGTTATGAGGGGGGGAATGACATCAATAAAGGTTACTTCTCGAAGAACCTGACGAAAATGTTGAGCTAGTGATTGTTGTGCGTGACGACAGGGCCTGGGAGACATCTGTCTGACGCTGTTCACATATAAACTATTTAGAAGTTTGCGATATCCGTTTGTTTGTTTCGAATCCATCTATATAAGCTTCTGCCACTGGTGTTGGAAGACAGCTAGGTACGATGGATTATTTTGCTTTTGGGAACGAAAATTTCTGCCCCCATCCCGTTCTCATAGGGAATGCAGCGTCAAGATGGTACTGCTTATCATCCTTTAAAAACACCTTACTGTTATCATCCCGCCCTTTCGGCCAGCTGTACGACTGCCTTCGGACTCACATCATAGCGTAGAAATTAATATTATGAAGGTAACTGCTTCTCATCTTATCACTACTTGATAGACCTTTGTGGTATGACAGGACCCACCAACAGCTCGTTGGGTCATTGTGATATACAAGCCAGACCACCATATTAAGGTGGCAGCTATTGGTGGGTGATGTTAAGCTTACATTGAACAAACTTCCGATACAGTATGATTTGTCTCAGTCAACATAATTAGAACGCTGATATAACATGACAAGGTAAAGTCCCCCTATTATTTGGTGACAATTACTAGTGTACTCATTATCTGAAGCTATTTATGCGTAAGCTGGCTGTTGATATTCCAACAAAGATTGCAAATCTACAGACACTATCATAACTCTGTTGAACAGACCAATGAGTTTTGAGTAGAGTTTGTCATGCTTTTCTTTGTCTCAAGTAATTATTCACAATTTAAACTGCATAAGTTTTACTCTAATATTTCGGAAGAGAAGAGGAACCTTCTTAAATGAAATATGAGTAAACAAGAGTAGTTCAACTGGAATATTTAACTGGACACGGTATTTTTTTACATGTGTGTTTAAAATGTGTACGATTCCTGATTTTGCTTTTTATCATCATCATTTCATTTCACAGGTATAATCATCTAGAATCCTTGCCAGAATCACTGGCGCGTTGTACAAATCTGTTAGAATTAAATATTGAAGGCAATAATATTTGGCAGTTACCGGTAAGTTGGTAATTTTCTTATTTCTTATCCAACCTGGCAATCAGGTTGCATCACATGACCCCACACTCTAAATGTAGTTCATAATCTATTAATGATGCAGAGGATTTTAGAGACTCGATGACTAGTTCTTTTGGTCTTGCAGGTGTGGATATTTCGCTAAGTTTGGATTCCAGGTCATAGTTACCTGCGTGCTGTTTGACTAAACGTTGCATTGAAGACCAAAAGCACGGTGAAACTCACCGTTATTTCTTTGTAATCTATGTATATGCATCAATTGATTTCAATGTGTATAAAGTGGGATGTGGATTCTACCGAAAACCAACTAGCCTCCTACTGAAAGTCAAGCGCTCAGACATGGTTGTTGTTTCAGAGATTTTCAATGCCGAAGTGAATAGATAGGCTCAGAAAGGCACTTAGGTGACACTTTTGGAATCCCAGTCAAGCAAACAGATAACGGTGATCGCCCTCTGTAACTGTGCCCTGGTCAGCACGAACTTCAAGCACAAAGAGAAGCATTGTCTTATGCGGCTTCCATCAACCTGAACTCAGTAGTGGACGTAAATTCACCATACTGCTACCAGTTATCACTTAAGAGGCTTAGTGGGAGATTGTCATGTGTTTGGATAGTGATCACGCGTTTCTTCGAGCACATTTATGTCCGCATCTAAATGGACGTAGGAAAACTATAGTAAAAAGACCATTGCGAGTGTAGCTCGACAATAAGATCAGTAAGGCCACTTTTAGTAAGAAACTGGTTCAACAGTTATCGGAACTGAACAATAACACCCATGCAGAAGAAACTTGGATTCGACATACACTAAGAAGATCGTTACGGACATCACGCACCAGGCCAGGCCCTCGAGTGAAGGCCAAATAGGAAACGAGTAGTCGGAGGCGAGGGTGACATGGAAAAGATGATGTGAGGAAGAAATGAAGGCTTCTGAGCAGTCTTGTAGCTAGGTTCAAAAGACTGCGGAAACGGGAGTGAAATGGTGACGTGCTACTGAAGCCCTACATTCTACTAGGAACCCAAAGGACAAATAATAAATATGCTGGCCACATTTTGTCTATTCAGTGTGCACTTTAGCTATCGAGGTAATTTATTCAACTTTGTAGTGCACTGTGTTTTAGCTACTGATTGATTATTCGTATCAGTCAAGCACGTATACCTAATCTTTCGGTAACCTTACAATAATCGATTATTGTATACAAGAAGTTTATTATCTAATTAGTTGGTGTAAGTTTTTATAACTGTATTGATAGGTGATAAGAGTTCTAATAATTCTAAAATCAATAGTTATCTCAATGTTGAACGTTTCATATTAGTATTTATCACTATCTACTTTCATATATTCTATCATCTTTATCACATTTCAATCATAAATAAAGGAGGGATTATTAACACATTTGAAAAAAATTTCCTGTGTAACATTGTCAAGAAATTATTTTAATATTTTCCCATCTGGCGGCCCTCAACAATTCACATCTATTCAAGTAAGTTAATATTTAACTTGTGAAATGAATCATTTTCATTTTATCAGGTAAAATTTCATTTCAACTTTATTTGGAATGGATAATAAAAGCTTTACAATTGGAAATGTCGATTTGAGGACTTGGGGATTTGGGGACTTGAGCTTCATACTTAGTGATTTCAATTTAATATTTCTAAATTCACAGTGTGACAGAGAAGACAGAGGTGATGAAGATACCCAACCAACAACAAGCACCAATCACCATCAACAGGACAAACCTTAGAGAAATTGTCTCTTTCATCTACCTAGGAAGCATCGTTTCAACTACAGGCGCCAGTGGCGGCACAGATGAGCATGTCAAAGTCAGGGTTGGAAAGGCAAGACAGGCTCTCATTAACTTGAGATCAGTATGGAGATCTACTGCACTGCTCTGCACTCAGCATAAAGCGTGAATGACATCCAGATTTTCAACACTCATGTCAGTCAAGTAGGTCAGTGCTTCTATATGATGGTTCAGAAACTTGGCGCATCACGAAAAGCATATCCAACAAACTACAGACATACATCATGAACAGCTACCGCGTATGCTCACTCGATAGTGAAGAGCAGATCAGATATCCAGAATAATAAGAATAAGCAACAAGAAAACTGGTTGGCTGGCTGACAACGAACGAAGGAAGGAACGAAGCAAGAACCCATCGCCTAACAAATATGCAGAAGAAAGTGGAGATCGATTGGATTGAGCATACACTGAGGAGACCATTTGGGGACATCACGCACCAAACCAGGCCAGGCCGTCGAGTGGAACCTAAATGGGAAACGACTAGTTGGGCGTCCGAAGCAGGGGTGACATTGAGGAGATGGTGTGAGAAAGAAATGAAAGCTTGTGGGGAGTTGTGGAGGCAAGTTGAAAAGGCTGTAGAGAAGAGAGTGAAGTGGTGACGTGCTATTGAAGCCCTGTGTTGCACTAGGAACTCATGGGACAAATAATAAATTTCCAGTGTATTTTTTTACATAAAATTAAGGAAACATTTATCTGCTATTCATCGATATGCTTTGCGTCTTGTTGAAAAGCTATTTCAGCAGTTTTATAATGGTTTTACTTTATGAGTTGATGTTCTTAGCCTTTAGGGCTAGTAAACAAAGTCCCTATTATCAGCTCTCTACATACTCATCGGGTGAATCAAATAACTATATGTCCATCTACCTAGTATCTCTCTGACGCTTCCTTGTATTTGGCATAATTACAACCGTGTAATTCGATTGGCTATTTTTTATGTAAACTTTGATGACTCTCTTGTTCATTGTTATTGAATATGTATGTTATCGATTTGACTATCTGAGATAACCGTGGTTTCGTTGACTAGTATTGATACTGGGTGATGGTTGAAGGTGAAATGAAAGTTTGGACCGCAGCCGGATTGGAGTCAGCGACCACCGAGTTTCCGGCCGCCGTCCGAATTTTCGTTTCACTTAAAATCATCACCCACTATCACCCCTAATCTACCAAACCACGGCCATCTCAGATAGTCAAAATGATAACATACATATTTGATAATAGTGCAGAAGACTGTCATCAAAGTTTACACACAAATAGCCAATCGAATCATACAGACGCATGTATATCAAGGAAGCATTAGTGAGATACTAGGTACGATTTCTGGACTCACGAATCCTAGTTCGTAGTAATTATGGAGAATAGTTCATCATTCGATTTTAAAAATAAAAAGCCTAACACAGTTAACATTTATCTCTTTGTTTTCTTTAGTATACTCATATTTCTGAGATTTGTTTGGATTTTACTTTTCTGCTAATGAAAGTGGCATAAATGTTCCATTATTTGACTTTACTTAGCAGGAGTACTTTCATAAAAGTGATAGTTGAAGCAAATGCTTGACACCTATAACCGAAATCTGAAAGACAATATATTTAAATGCATCTTTTGATGTTTCCTTGCTGATTTTATATTGAAGGGTTTGGTAATTGATTCGTTAAGGAAACCTCTTACTTCCGTCCTGGGCAAGTAACCTCAACCTTGACTCTAACTATTATCGCTACCAATTTTCGATGTACATATTGTGCTAAGTTTATAAGTTAGACATTTTTAGAAATCTGTTCAGTTGTACTCAGTGATCAAAGCTCGTCAATCGCATTTAAATATAACGTTTATATCTAGTGGCGAGTAATGTCAACATACTTTGTGAAAAATTATAATTTTTATCAGGCTTATTATTGTCAAATAGATAATATAGAAGTTTTAAGTTACCTAATTAGTTTTGTAATGTTTTGTCAAGTTGGATAAATAATTATATACTAGGTGATGATTGAAGGGGAGATGAAAATCTGGACCGCGGCTGGATTCGAACCAGCGATCACCGGGTTACCGGGCCGGTGCTTCACCAACTGAGCTACGACGTGAAACTGCTAACCAGTCTTTTGTTTCACTTCAGTGACCAAGGATGTTGCCCGACTACCTTCAATCATCACCGAGAATAAAATACTTGTGAAGCAAGTGTGGAATAATTAAGTTGGGATACTATAAACACCTCTCTACTCAAATTAAGTCGTTTACATCAGAGTTATTTTGTAGAGTTATTATATAAGATGAATTGTTATCTACATCTGTCACTATGGTTTAGCGTCATTGCAGTTGTATTGATGATGGAAGAGTGATGTATTTAAACACCTTGTGAATGAATTAAATAAAGTATGGAAATTATGTAATTGTGTTAAGAGAATACATTGAAGAGTTGTGGGATCTAGTGAACATCTTTAGTGAAAATTTGACAGCAGTTTCAGTGCTTTGGGATACAAGATTATTCTCTAGGATAGATTTGTATAATTACTGAGTTTATGTAGAAGGAGCGACTCGACTGATTGTGCTGTTGTTGTGTTTGTGATTACGCACCACACCCCTATCGAATGACTGACTAACTTATATACGAGATATGATGGAGCCCAGAGGAAAGGTAGAAAGGAGTAAATTTGGTTTGCCTGAGATTTTTTACTATCTCAGAGAAGACCGATACTAACCTGAAATGCATGTGCATGTATACATGAGATGTGGCCTTGTTAATAATTGAGGTATTTGAAGGTAAGAGTGAAGTAATCAGTAATTGGCTGATGAGAGAAGTAGGGGGTGATGATGACCTACGGGTTATGGCGTAAAAAATGTGAGAAATTGTAATTTTTCGTGCATAATAAAATGATTAATGTTGTATTTGTAGTAAATGATGATTGAAGGTGAGATGAAAATGTAGACCTCTGTCGGATTCGAAGGAGCGACCATCGGGTTACCGATTCGGTGCTTTACCTTCAGTTATCACCCAGTATAAATACTATTCTGACAAACTTCGGCTATGTGAGATAGTGAAATGAAAATCAATATGATGCTCGGCCTCTGCGATTCAGTTAGATTGTGATTGGAATAAGAAGTGTTGACTAGGGAGGCAGTGTGAGTACGATGAAGTGGTAGTAAGGTGTCCGGAATTCACATGGTAGTCGGGTGAAACCCTAGTTGGTTGAAGTGAAATAAAATCGTGTTGAGCAGTGGGACCTGATACATCAGTTGGTAGAATATTGGGCCGGTAACCCGTTGTTCGCTGGTTGGAATGTGGCTTTCGTCCAGATTTTCATCTCAAAAATACATTACTGTATTGTGCTCATGAGTGACATGCTTCCAGATGGATATCGGGAAGCCCTAATGAGAAGCCCTGATCTGTGGGGTCAACTAGTCAGAAGTGAAGCGGATAATAACTGAAGATCTTGAGTGATAGTCGCGCTATATTGTGAGTTGATGGAAGTTGGAAATTGTGAACCACTGGAAACCGACCCAGTGGCTGAACGGTTAACGCATTCGCCGTGAAACCTGAAGGTTCTGAGTTCGACCCCCTAGCCGGGTCGTGGGTGTGTACTGCTGAGGAGTCCCATACTGGGACGAAACAGCTGTCCAGTGCTCCCAGATTTTCAGTGGTTCCTTCAACTGATGTCACTTCATGATGAATACTACTTTTAAATAATTATATGATAAAATGATTGTATTTTGTAATCAGAAGAGAGATGTCTGGTTATAAAGAAAGAAAATGAAAAATTAACGTTTGATTTAAAACATTTTTTGAGATAAGATGAAAATCTACATACAATTAGATGAATTAATCATATTCTTATGGAAGGGAATAATAGCTATTGTTTGCCTTTTGTGCATTGTTTCACTAATATCGATGATATCCGGATAGAGTGAGTTGCATAAAATATTCTTTTGGCAGCTTTCACTAGTTTATGTTTTATAATTTCCCCTGTTGCATTTTCACTTAATTCCAGATTCAAAAGTAACTTCTATACATGAATAAATATGTGACTGTTTCTAATTTTTGTCCATGAATCTTTATGAGTATTTATTTCTCATAAAAAGCTATCTTGATTTTTATCTTCTCATATGTTAAAAGCACAAATCTTATGAATTTGATAGTAATGAAAGCGGATTAAGTTACATTCCATGCTGATAGAAACTTGACTTCTAATGTTTACCATTTTTTGTTCCATGTAGACTTTCGGCAAGTAGATCTTATAAATGTCCTATCATCTAATCTTCTTAACAATATATTGAAGAATGATTGTGTTTTTGTATAAGATTTCATCTTCATAGTGAAATTGATTATGGAATGGTATTCACTGATAAAATGTTGTACTTCCTGCGAATGAAAACTGTTGCCACGAACAATGAATAATATATGATTAAAACTGTTTGATAAGCAGTTCAATTATAAATTTCTTCTGTTTCAACATTAAGATATTTGCTAATATTGAACTGAATGGATGGCCCTATCCTAACTTTATCCTTCTGGTGGTAGAATTTATCACTGAACCTGAACTTCACATCACAAGTACATCTTAAGAGGTGGTCCTTCATGTGCTATGTAAGCCCCCACCAGTTCACTGCATTAGGATCATTTTAGTCGGATATGAAACAGACCTTCTCTTGGCACAATATTGTGTTCACATCTGTAACTTAAAGTCTTTTCTTCGATCGAACTTTTTGATTACATTCTTTCACTGTTGAAGAGTATAAAGCTAAGATGAAATAGACATTTAGTGCTTCTTGGCTTACATTAGTTCTCTTAGTGGTTTTAACTCGTATTGAAGTTATCTCATAATCAATCAGAAGGCTAGAAAGAACTTCAGTTTTCTTGGTATCACTATTCATTCCAGTCATGATTCAAATATCAAGTATTATATATTATTATTATTATTTGTCCCTTGGGTTCTTAATGGAACATAGCACTTCAGTAGCACGTCTCCAGTGCACTCTCTTCTCTGCAAACGTTTGAACCTGGCTCCACGACAGCCCAGAAGCTCTCGTTCCTTCCTCACACTATCTCCTCCATGTCACCCTCACCTCGGATGCCCAACTCATCGTTTCGCATCTGGGTTCCACTCGACGACCTGGCCTGGCGCGTGATGTCCCCAGTCAGCCTTCTCAATGTATGCCCAGTCCAATCCATCCCCACTTCTTCCTGCATATTCATTGAGCGATAGGTTCTTGGTTAGTTCGTCACCAGGCAGAGTTCTTTGTTACCTATTCTGACTATTCTGGCCATCTGAACTTCAGCAACGAGTCAGCGTAGGCAGTTGTTGATAAATGTCTGCAGTTTGTTGAAAATCCCTTTCGTAATGCGCCAAGTCTGTAAACCATATAGAAGCACTGACTTGACGTTGGTGTTGAAAACTTGAATCTTGTTCACGCTTTATGCTGAGTGGAGTTCAGAAGATCTCCACACTGGTTTCACGCTAATGAACACCTGTCTTGCTTTTCTGATCCTGGCTTTGATGTCCTTGTCTATGCTGCCTGTAGTTGAGATAGTGCTGCCTAAATAGGTGGAAGAGGCTACTTCCTTCAAGTTTCTCCCATTGATGGTGATTGGAGTTTGTTGTTGTTGTTGGTGGTGGTGTTGGTTGGGTATCTGCATCACCCTTGTCTTCTCTACGTTCACTGGAAGTCGGGCCTTCTTTCACTGCCTCTTCTGCCAACTTGTTAGTTTTCACCTGTAGATCTTCAAGTTTGTGTGACATTAGACACAAGTCGTCGACGGCGAAATCCAAGTCTTCCAAGTCTAGGATCTTTTCCCCGGTCCAGCGTATCACCCTCTCCTTGCTCCTCACTGTTTGTTGCATGATGCAGTCCAGTGCACTACAATCAGGTAGATCATGGGTGATAGTAGACAGACTTGTTTTACTCCTGTCTTCACTTCAGAGGCGTCACTGAGCTTCCCATTGTGAATAACTTGGCATGTTGCATGCGTCTTCATATAGTTGTTGAATGAGATTGATAAAAGTTTGTGGTATTCTGTAATGTTGAGGCAGTTTCCAAATTACCTCTCGGTCGACGCTGTCAAAGGCCTTCTCAAAGTCGATGAAGTTGAGGTAGAGTTGAGTTGACTGCCATTCTATGCTCTGTTCAATGATGATGATGCGAAGCGTTACAATTTGTTCCGCACATGAAGCCTGCCTGTTCCAGTCGTAGTTTTGAATCCAGCGCATCTTTTAGTCTCTTCAGAATGATGCGGCTTGATATTTTGCTTGCATTGGTTGGACGGGAGCATGATTCCTCGCCAATTCTTACAAAGGCTTAGGTCACCCTTCTTGGGAGTTTGACAGGATAGCCCCTCTTCCAATCCATAGGCAGGTACCTTTCCCTCCTTCCTTCCTTCCAAACCTTCTTCACTAGTGGTGGGAGCGTGTCTGCTGTTGTCTCTGCGTCTATTTCCAGTGCTTCTGGCAGAATTCCATCTGGTGCTGCTGCTTTCTCGCATTTCAGTAGCTTTATGGCATTCAGGACTTCGACTTTCGTCGGAGGGCTTGTGTTCACTTGTAGTTGTGTGGCTGCAGGTGGTATTTCTGGACGAAATGCAGGTGGTGGTCGATTCAAGAGCTTTTTGTAGTGGTCCGCCCATCGTTTCCTCTGTTTTTCTTCTTTGTTAATTAAATTTCCTTCATCATCTTTCATTGGTTTCATCTGTATTGATCTCTTTCCGGTATCCTGGTTGTTTGATATAGTGTTTTCAGGTCTCTGTCTCTCCTACCGGTAGCCTGTTCTGCTTCGCTTGCCAGTGTGTTGTGGAAGTGTCTTTTGTCTTTCCGTGCAGTCTTCACTTCTGTATCCAGTGTTTCATAGTTTGTACTCAGTTGCTCTTCTCGTCGTTCATCCTTGCACTGGTTTATCTTCTGCTTCACCATCCTCCTCTCCCTCTTCTATCATCTTCCATGTGTCCTTCGAGATCCATTCCTTGTTTTTTTTCTTCTTCCTTCCTTATACGATTATGCAGGTTTCTTTCCGCATCTCTTTCAAAGACTTCCAGTGTCCATCCACACGTGTTTCTTCCGGGATGTTGCTCGATATCTCCCATTTTGTCTTGATGGCTGATGTGAAGATTTCCTTTGTAGTTTCATCCTTCAGTTTCTGGATGTTGTACTTGAACTGTGGTCTGTCATCACCAACTTCCTTGAAGGCTTCCAACTTGATTTTGAAGGTTCCTTGCACTAGATAGTTGGTGTCGGAAACCTACATCTGCTTCTCTTCTTGATCTTGTGTCAAGTAGTCTGCGTCTCCACTTTCTTGAGATTGAGATAAAGTCGATCTGATTTTTAGTGTAGTGTGTCCTGGTGTCTGGTGAAATCTATGTCGCTTTGTGGATATCTTTGTGCTTGAACACAGTGCCTACAATCATTAAATTGTTAAATGCACAGAATTCCGCAAACAATTCTCTATTCTCGTTCATAAATATCAAGTATATTCAACATTTAAATTGCTTAATCGGATATAAATAAAGTTACATTGATGATTAGTCTCGGGAAAGCAACCAATTTCATATTGCGTAATCCTGAGTCCTGACCGGATTCTATCTGTTACTTTTGCAATGTGGCCACCAAGCTAGGATGCTCAGCATTGCGTTGCATATTGATAGATGTTACTTAGTTGTAAGCGATTGGCAGAAAGCCCTGTAACACAGTCCTAGAGGTGATCAACCACGGCCCGAGTGTCTCAGTGGTAATATCTCTGACTACAACACTGGATGACCCGAGTCCGAATCAAGATTATCTATACGCTTTGCTGATGAATGTCCATAAGCACGAAACCTAGATCCAAGGCTCCCTACCGATTTCCTCCAATCAACTAACATCTATAGATAAAGTTAATTAGTGTGGCATATTTACTCGCAGTATCTTAAGCGTTGTGAGGTTTTTTTCCTCATCTGGAAACAGTCAAGAGGGAATTTGTACCGAGTAACCATATCACAAACTTTATCGACGTACTTTGATCAACAGTTAAAATTTGACAGACTACATCGGTTACTATTCGGTATGCCAACTCGTATGTTACTTCCCTTTATTTCCATAACTATAAGAGCTATTATTATTGTCGTTATTGTTATTATTATTTGTCCTTTAGGTTTTTAGTCGAACTTAGGGCTTCAGTAGCACATCGCCATTTCACTTTCTTCTCTGCAGTCTTTTCAACCTGGCTACAAGACTGCCTCACACTATCTCTTCCATATCACCCTCGGCTCAAACGCCCAACTTGTAGTTTCCCCTTTGGGTTGCACTATACGGCCTGGTTTGGTCTGGCGCGTGATGTCCACAGTGTATGCCTAATCCAATCGATCTCCACTTTCTTCTGCATATTTGTTGGGCGATAGGTTGTTGGTTGATTCGTTGCCAGGCTCTTTTTAGCCACTCTTTTGGAGTCGGCTACGGCCATCTGCAATTTGTTGGAAATGCTTTTCATAGCGCACCAACTCTCTCAACCATCACATAGAAGCACTGACTTACTTGACTGACATTAGTGTTGAAAATCCGGATGTCGTTCACGCTTTATGCTGAGTGCAGTGCAGTGCAGTGTAATGCAGTAGATCTTCACACTAATCTCAGGTTAATAAAGGAAGGCCTGTCTTGTTGTCTTTTTGATCCTGGCTTTGACATGCTCATCTGTGCCGCCACCGGCGCCTGTAGTTGAAACGATGCTTCCTAGGTAGATGAAAGAGACAATTTCCTTAAGGTTTGTCCTGTTGATGGTGATTGGTGCTTGTTGTTGGTTGGGTATCTTCACCACCTCTATCTTCTCTACGTTCACCTGAAGGAAATCCCGCCTTTCTTGTTGTCGCGCCTCTTCTGCCAATCTTTAGATTTTCGAAGTTGAGCGACAAGGCATCAGACATAAATCACCATCGGTGGCGAAATCCACATCTTCTAAGGTATTTGCATCGGTCAAGCAGCGTATCCCTATCCTCTCGCTCGTCACAGGTTTTTGCATGATTCGCTCCGGTCCTCCATAATCAGGATGATCATTGGTGATAGTAAGTGGCAACTTTTTCTTACTCCTGTCTTCATTTCAAAGGTATCACTAAGCTTTCCACCGTGAAGCACTTGTCCTCATCATATAGAACGTAGCTGTTGAAGCAAGCAGCTGGCTCGCTATCGAATGTCTTTTCAAAGTTAATGAAGTTGAGGTAGAGAGTTGACTGCCATTCTATGCTCTGTTTTATGATGATGCGTAGCGTTGCAATTTGATCGGCACATGATTTATTTTTCCAGTTTCCTAAACTGAATTGTTGTTTTTGTTTGTTGTTGCTGTTGTTGTTATCTTTTATTTCAACTTATCTTATACTACTTATAGTCTCTTAATATGGAGCATAATCAGATAACTCGGATACCATTTGGCATATTTTCACGTGCATCAAATTTAACTAAACTAAATATGAAAGATAATCAAATCAGTGCTTTTCCACCTGGTAAGCTAGTTCATTTATCATTTATCTTACTAAGTGTTATATTCTTATTTCATTGTGTTATTCAACGTTTATTTATTGATTATACTTGTAGAAATTATATTATCTTGCATTGTTTAACATCGGATAAATGTTATTTTTACCTCAGTCATTGAATATTTTATTCATCATCAGTTAAGTAAACGACAACTATGCATTATCTATTGATTTTTAGATAATAAATTTTGATGATATACAACTTCAAGAAAAATAGCATTATTGCTTTCTGTAAGATATATGCATATAGGATTCAACTCAAAACCTTATCATGAACTTTGTTAAAGATTTGCAAAATTACAATAGATTAAGCTTTTTATATTCTTGTTCTCGAATTGATGTTCACTCAAGATTAAAACTATCAAGACTGGATAGTGCAACAGATCACTGTTTATTGTTTAATGTAAATTACATCTTAGAAATGCTTGTTGATGAGATAAATTTTGCTTTAGTAAAACTTGTATAATTGTTTATAAAGGGTTAATAACATAGTTGTATAAAATATGACCATCAAAGAAGTTGAATTTATTACGGTCTTTTATCCACATCACCATGCATGTGATGTAATCATCGCGTAAACAATGCATGGATTTCAGGTTGGGATTCATCATGAGCTGATATCAGTTGCAGGAATATTGGAAACTTGGGAGCACTAGACAGCTGTTTCGTCCAAGTATAGGACTACTACTCAGCAGTGTGCACCTATAATCCCGCTCCACCAGGGATCAGACCCAGGACATTCAGGTTTCGTGACCAGCACGTTACCATTGAGCCAGTGGGTTGAAATCCAATGGTTTAGGTTTCCTACTTCTATGAGTTCATGTTACAGCGTGACCTACATCTAATGTCGTCGTTAAGTTACTGTCCTCATTTTCAACTTGATTGACTTCACTGGTCACAACGTCTCGTTGGAACTTCTGGAATCATTTCCGGAAGCTAGTCACCAATAGGTGCTAGATTAATTCTAGGATTCAAGACCACTGGATTCTGAACCGGAGGCCCAGTGGTAGCGTGCTGACCACAGAACCTGAAGGTTATGGGTTCAATCCCTAGCGGGGCTTTCTACAGAGATATCTACTGAACATAAAGTAAAAACATTCACTGCGTAGTTTGACGGTATTTTCTTTCAGGTGGAATTCCTGCGTTTCTTATTTGATCACATATTTAGTCGACTATTTCAACGATTCATATGTTGGTAAATTATGACGTAATACCTAGTGACATCAGTGTTTACTGATGTCCTACTCATCGAAGCAGTCAACTATGTATGTAGTCAAATAATAGGGCGAGAGGAGACACAGAAATTCCATCTGAGAAAGTTAAAGTTAATGCAAGATAAATGTTCACTATTTGTTCCATAATTCTATGTGACAAGGGTATAGGTTTGTAATGAATTTCTCCCTGGGTCCTATATGGACTACTATCTTCCTGGAGAAACTTGAAAATTTTCCGTTTAATGATACTGAGCTAGACTTGACCAAACTAAAGGTTTTGAATTTTTTCACCAGTATCCATCTAGCTATAAAGTTAACCTTTAAAGAACACGTGAATAGTATATCATTCCCTGATCAGGTAGATGGATGGACTGTGTTCTAAGAGAAATATGCTTGAAACGAACACATGGACCAGCCATTATATTTATTTTCAAAGCTTCACACCAATTCACCACAAAATAAACTTTATCAAATGATATACCCACATAATACGAAGTATGTGTTCAGACGACTGTTTGGAGGAAGAAATGGATCAGTTGAAGAAAATGTTGCACCAAAAGGTTATCCAAACAACTTTATAAATAATTACATGTCGAAAAGTAGAGAGAAAATAAAAACAGCTAACGCTAACAACAAAACTGTATCGTAGACTAAGTTTAAAAACCATCATTGCCGATTAAAATGATATTCCTTACGGTAAAACTTGTTGTTATCTTCTCAACCAAACCATAGCTGACACAGTAAGCCAAGGACAATTTACCAGTGATAGCTTATTCAATATATATTTATGAATTCAACTTCTTTTTGTAGACCTAGTTACTTACACCGTACCGTACTCAAAAACCTTTATCCAATCCACGCACACTTGGGAACATGTATCAGCATATTTTTTTTCCAAGTAACAAAAGAGTGCATAAACAGTGTAGTTATTTTGCATTTAAAAGATAGTAGACATCGAGTCAAGTTAGATCAGACTTGATACGATTTGAAGTCGTGAGAAAGTATGAGGCTAATCAATGATCAAGGTTCCAGAGGTTGATATGACTGACAAACTGGGTTATTTACAGACTGAAATCCATTCGAACAGAAGAAGTGTGTGTGTATAAAAAATAATGCTGGCAAGAGAACTATAATAACGCTTAAACAAAAAATCTAGTGATTAGTTCACTAAAAGAGATAAGAAATAATTAGGACACTATTAGGTATGGACCCTATGAAATATAACCCGTGTGGCAGGAAAAGGTAAGAACAAAAAGAAGTCCAAAAGTACAATTAGGGATGAACACCCCTAAGACATTTTCTGTTTTACTTCGTGATCTTTGAAAATGGGCACTACTGCACATCGTATATATATACCAGAAGCTCTACCAACCAGCTCCATAAACATGATCTATGTTCAAAAGAGATATGCGCTTAGGTGTATCCACTTTGTTTACATTGGCCAACTGTAGTTCGAATACATTCATCCCACTCTCTTACTTTATTTCCTTCGTTTTATTACTAAGTATTTATTTTAGAGGTTGTATTCTCCACGAACTGAAACAAGTTGGGGAACCATTGAAAGCCTAGGAGCACTGGACAACTGTCTTGTCCTAGTATGGAACTCTTCAGCAGTACGCACCCGCGACTCCGCCAGGGGTCGGACTCAGGGCCTTCAGGTTTCACGGCGAATGCGTTAACCGTTCAGCCACCGGGTCGGTTTCCAGTGGTTCACAATTTCCAACTTCTATCAACTCACAATATAGCGCAACTATCGCTCAAGATCTTCAGTTAGCATCCGCTTTCCTTCTAGCTGGTTGACCCCACATGTTATGATTTCTCATTAGAACTTCATGATCTCTATCTGGAAGCATGTCGATAATGAAAACTATAGAGTAATGTGAATTGACAGAAGCTGGAAACTGTGAACCACTGTAAATCAATCCAGTGGCTGAATGGTCAACGCATTTGCCGTGAAACCTGAAGGTCCTAAGTTCAACCCCTAACCAAGAAGCGGGTGCCGAGGAGTCTCATACTAGGATGAAACAACTGTTCAGTCCTCCCAAGTTTTCAATGATTGCCTAACTAACTGATTTCAGTCCGTGATGAAAACTACCACTAAATTAAAATCCCCATCTATCTCAAACGTTTATTTGTATGTGTTAGTCGTTTTATGATCTTGTTTATTAATACTGTTAATCGTAGTCGATTTCAACGTATACGTAACGCTTCACATTTGTTATTATTGTCATTTCGTTAATCTATTCACATGATGATTTTACACATGATGTTTTATACACACGTCTCCACATAATAAAGATTAATATCTTAACTTCAATTTATGTAATTTTTCACTTCGTAAACTGAAATTGTTTACCATCCATCCATCCAAGATCAACATAGGATCAGGCATTATTACACAACTCTCCAAGTTGCCATATCTCATATTATCACATCAAGTAACTAGGCAATAAAATGGAAGATGAAGAAAGAAACAAAAACCGGTCGACAGAAGTAGAAAGTGTGAAAGGGATGAAGGAGGAATGAAAAAGTGATGAGATTAGGTATCACGATCTATCTGCGCCACTGAAATCGGTTCTGAGACATCACATAGAGTCTCCAACCACTGGTTTTTATTGTCCATCTGACCCCAAACGGCTAGTCTGCATCGTCCTACATAGCTCAAACGAACGATCAATGACTTCATGCATTGATGCCATGTTTTAGTCTGATGGGCGTGAGCTTTTTTCCAACCTGAACCTACTTCGACCATGATTGTGTGACTAGTCAGATGGTGATTAGACATACGTAACACATGACCCAGCCATCTCAGTCAATGAAGGTTCAAAACCGCATCAACTGACTTATCTCTCCTCCCTAAAGCTCTACACTTGACTTCTGCGTTACTCACATGGTGACACCATGAAACACGGCCGATGCTAAAAAGGCAATGGTGGTCAGACACATGAAGCCTTCACATGTCTTCTAACTTTAACGCCCACGTTTCTCAGGCATACAGTAAGATAGAGCGGACTGCATCACAGTACACTTGGTCCTTAATAGACAACTGAATATCGAGGCGGCGCCACATATGATGTGGGTTGGCGAAAACCAACCGAGCCTTTTGTATGTATTCGTGCAGAGATTTCGTCACCCACTGAACCTCCAGGACTGATCCAGTTCCTCAGGTAAGTGAAGTGTTCGATACACTCAACCACTACACTCTCTGTTGTTAGCTGTGGCATCGTTTAAGACCAGTCCTGGAGCAACAGGTTGCAGTTGTGTGGTGAGAAACGCGTCCCAAGCATTCTTAAGCTTCCACTCAAGCTATCCAGAAGACTGCATGTTGTTAGCGTCTTCACCTAACAGGACTATGACATCTGCATATTCTAGGTCTAACGAAAATTCTTCTGTGATTAGGTCAACCTCTGTGTAGTTAGGGGAAAATTGTTTACAGAGAACCGATTCATCTTATCTGTCTCCTTATTTTTGTTTGCATATTCATACTCAATTCTTGATTACATTGACTGGTCACTTAAAATTGGTAACCGATTTCAAGTTAACCAGTTCTATATTCTGTCTTCCGTCTTGAAATGTCATCAACAAGCTAGGAGACTCAGGGTCACAGTAAACTTTGATTGATTTTGTATTCAGTCGGCAGGACACGTTGGATCTAGATTTTATGCTTCTTGGTGGACTAGGCGTATTACATGTATAGAAGTTGGTCAGCATTACTCCTTCAGTGGTCAACCAATGCATCTAATGCAATCCGAC